ATTGTTTAGTGCTGCTATAACAAATTCTTCAGGTGGGTGGCCTCAACAAGCAGAAATCTATGTTCACACAATTTAGGAGGTTGTATGTCTGAATTCAAGGTAATGATTCTTAAGTGACGGCTTTCTCCCACTTCAGCTTAGAGGAAAGTTTTTGTCTCTAAGCTGTTCATTGCTGTTCTGTCTGTGACTTGGACTTTTTCTTTTTTTATCTCTGCTTCCTTACTCTGTTCTTTTTGTTTTTTAGAGATTTATTTAAGACAATTCACTCCAGTCCTGTATAGCACAACAAACACAGCTCATTCTTAAAATGGAATTATAATCACAGGCATAATAGTTAGAATTTTCAATACGTATTTTAGGAGACAATTCAGTCTATAATAGACTAAACTTGGCTCTATAATCAACATCCATTGTAGCAGCAGTCAAGAATCAAATAACATACTACATTGGGTCAATGTCCTGCAAAAGGCCTCATAAAGCCCAGGCTCCTGAATGAGCTGTTCTGCATACAGACTGTTAAGGTATGGGAACAGGACGCATCCCAGATGCACTACCTTCCTGATTTTGAACCATGCAGTGTTTCCCTGCTCTGTCTTTCCTAGTCAATTAAGAGTACCATGCTGGATTTTGACCCTCTATTGGGTTTTTGAGGTTGTGAATTGTACAAGAAGAGAGTGTTCATCTTTCTTCCATGGAGCTGCTGGTAGATTTGAACTGCCAGAGAGAGAGGGGCCACATTTAGGTTAGCAGCAGAACTTCCTATCTGCTAGGTCACTAGAGTTCTCTGAAAGCTTCCGTATTTTCAGAGATTCCAAAATATTATATAGTCCTTGTTGGTTGACTCCCAGTTTATTGTCAACTTACAGGGACTTCAAGAACAACTGAACAAAATTTTGCCTCGTCTTGTGCAACAATGCATCATGATCAATTATAGATGGGAAAATGTGACCATGGGTTTTCACAGCTGATTTTCAGAAATAGATTATTTGACTTTTCCTTCTAGTGGTTGTTAGTCTTGGAATTCTGTGAAAACCTGTTTCACATCATGGCAACATGTAAGTTTCCAATGACAGATGAGCTGTGGCAGTGCATGAAGTGTGAAATCAAGTCAAAATTTCTCACAAAGATGACGAGAATTCTCTAGCATTGAACCACCACAAAGTTACATAATCAAAGCAAACCCAAATCCACTGTAATCAAATGGATCCCAACTTAAGACAAGGCTCCATTTAGTTCTCAGGCTGTAAATTTTGATATGCTACTTTCTCAGTAGGCAGCTCTGGTGACCTAGGGGGTAAGGATATGTGTTGCTAATCCAAAGTTAGGAGGTTCAAATCCACCAGTTATTCTGAGGTAGAAAGAAAGGAAATCTGTTATGTGATTTAGAGCCTCTGAAAACCCACTGGAGAGTCAGCTATGAGTTAGTTCCAACTCAACAGCAATGATCTGAGTTTTGACTTTCTCTTTAGAGCTCACCAAAACACTTAGTACATATTTATTACTGAATGAAGCACAAGATTTAACTGCTTAGCCTCACCGTTTCTCAACAGTGAATAACAATTAGATTAAGAATATCAAAGATCATGAGCATGGTGCGGGGAAGAACAGGGTTCAGGCCTGTTCACAGGGCTGTTATGAATCATGGCCAACTAGATGGTATATAATGACATCAATACCCCGTTTCAACAAACATTTTCCTTTTAGAATAAGAAAAGTAAACTAAAACACTTAAGCATTCTTACTCATTTCTGAGTAAGAGAGAATCTAACTCTATTCTTAAATGAACATTATAAATTTAACAGTTTTCATCTGTACTTCCTATGCAATCTGATCAAAGTAAATCGTAATATATGGAATACTTTTTTGCCATTCCATTGCATGAACTTGACAATGCATCAGCTCTGAAGGGAGAATTTTTTGTAATAGTATATAAAATAAATCCCTATATGTATCAAAACAGTATGTGGCAATGAACTATTTGACAAGGGATTAATATCTAAAATTTACAAAAACCACCAAAGCCTAAAAAAGACAAATAATCCAATTAAAAAATGGGCAAGCACATAAAAAGGTTCTTCACCAAAGAAGACACTCAAATGCCCAACCTTTAAAGACATGAAGAAATGTTCAAGATCATTAGTCACTGGACAGATACAAATCAAAACAACAATATATCATCTCATCCCAGCAGCAACAGTACAGACCAATAACAGAAACAAAGCTGGTCAGAATGTGGAGAGATGGAATCTCATGCATTATCAGTAAAAATGTAAAATATGGAAAAAAATTGTAAAATATGGTACAACCACTGTGGAAAACAGTACGGCATGTCTTTAAAAAAATTGGAAATATAAATACCATTTGATTCCGCAATCTCACTACTAGGTACATATTCTAAAGAAACAATAACTGTAATACAAACCTATAGACACCCATGTTCATCATAGCATTATCTACCAACAGCAAAGACATGGAAAAACTTCCCAGTGTCCAACAACAGGTAAATAGTTAAAGAAACAAAGCTATATTTACACAATGGAGTATTAGGCAGCACTAAAAAACAAACAAACAAACAAAAAAACACACACAAAAAACCCCCAAAACAAACAACAAACCACCAATAAAGAGTTTATACAATACTGCATACTACTGACAAATCAAGAGGACATTATATTGAGTGAAATAAATCAGTGACAAAACAACACAATTTTATCAAAACACTTATATGGACAGATAAAGAAAGATACATAGCAGACATCCATTCTAGTGAAGAAAAAAGGGGGGGCAAGTAAAAATGAGTAAAGGTGAACAGATACAGACAGTCAAAAAGTACTATACCCTGAGGCAATGAGTTGCTGGTTTCAGGCCTTGGAACCACAGTTTTGGGAACATCAAGGGCCAAGTGGTTTAACACAGTCCACAATGTTCTACATCATACTTCAGTGAGTAGCATCTGAGTCTTAAAACCTTTTCTTGGGGAAAAAAAAATAAAACTACAAGTTTATCATTTTCTAGAACAAAGTGTATGTACCCAACTCAACTTCCATGACCCTGAGACCAGAAGAACTAGATGGTGCCTTGTGATAACTGCTGACCACTCTCACAGGGGTTACACTAGAAGAAGGAGGATAGAACAGATAGGAAATGTTGAACAAAATTCAAAAGTATGAAGAAGGTTACACATGCTGGTTTGATAAGACACTGCTGGAAAACTGGCTCTTAGTCATCTTTCAAACCTAGAACAAAATTAACCCCCATGGTTCAACTTTCAGCTAAGTAAGAGATAACCCTATGAGGGAACCAATAATACACACTCCTTAAAACAACTAACCATATAAGATCAAAGCAGCTCTTGCCCAGGGATAATGCTTTGAACAGAGGAAGGGGTAGGACATAGATTTATGGAAATAATAATTACAGGGAGAAAACAAGAAAAGTGAAAGTATATTATAGTTACTGTAATTAATGCTATAAAACAAAATACTATGAACAACTGAATGAAAAATTAACATTAGAACACTCCAATTACAAAGAAACAAAACACCATCAAAAACCTGGCCATTCCTCTTTCTGATTTTTGGTACAAGAAGCTCTAGCCTCTCTCAGCAGCTCAGATGACCAATTATAAACCACCTTTAGTTCCAGGAACCCTTTGCTATCTCAACCCTAGTCAAGCTACAAGAACTCTCATCAACACTATTCTCTTAGTTTATCAAGTTTCTGACTATTAATAGGAAGTCAGGGACACAGATTATACATGCTGGGGAGCACACTTGACTCAGAAAGAAAGGTTAGTGGATATATGCTAACACAGGACAGTGTAGTTTGAGGCACCATGATAAACTGATAGTTTCAGCATTATTTTATGATAGGCAGTCTGTTATGCTCCAAGTGACAGTCAGTAAATAAAGTAATTTCTTAAAGGACTTGCTCTAGGAGAGAAAGACTTAGAGATCTTCTCTCTTAAAGATTACACCCCAGGAGTCCTATTGAGAAATGTACATGTAGTTGAAAACTGACTTGAGAATACTTTGGATAAAGGTGCATACATTATTATATGAAGATAACTCAGAGACATATAATCTTGGACTTTAAAATGAGAACAGTCATGAATTTTAGTAGGCTAAAGGAAGGCTCAGGTCTACTGTTCATAGGATCACTAAGAGTTGTAGTTGACTCAAAAACAACTAACAACAATACAACATAGTGAAAAAACAATGAGGTAGTAATAGAATGACTATGGGAATGAAAGTAGAAGCCCTGGTAACCTATAGGCACCACCAGCCCAGTGGTGGGTGTTTTGAATCTATTAGCTATTATACAGACAAAGATGGGCAATCTCTTCCCACAAGATTTACAGCTTCTGAAAACACAATGGACAGTCAGATCTTTTATGTGTCAGAAAAATGGCAGGCAGTATCAAAGAAAAGGAAACACACAATAATTAAATAAGTTGGAAAATAAAGATTTAATGAGATAGCAAGTGTTAAGACTACAAAATGAAAAGATCATAACAGCGTGATTCACTACGTCAGGAGCATGGAAACAGCCCAAAAGTCCCACCACCATTGAATGGATTGACAAAGTGTAGGACCAATGATTTTGCAAATTATTACCTAACTTGGGAGGGACTGAAAAGCATTATTCTGAGTGAACTCAGTAGAGTGAGTATGAGGATCTAAGGAGGGGGAGAGGGACCAGAGTAGTGGATATGGGTGGGTGCGAGAGGTTAATCTAAGGATCACACAACTTGATGGGTAGAAGGAGGGGTGGGTAAAGGAAAGGGAAATATCCCATGTGAAAAACAATATATATGAACTTTGTAAGTAAATCAGGATAAAATAGAAAGAAAAAAAAAACCCTAAAAGATCAAATATGAGTAAGACTGGTTACAGGAGGAACTGTTCAAGACTACCTACCTATTTCAATTACTTGCAATTAAATTGGAAAATGTGCAAAGGCATCATTTGAAAACTGAGCTAATGAACTTTGAAACTTACACTGATGACTTGTGAAGAAGCTGACAAGTTTAGACCTTCAAGATCCGCTATCAAGCTTGGAGTAAGAGCAGGGGTGGGAAATGCAACTGGAGTGGAGACTGGGTGAACTGCAAGAAAAGGCTCAAATTAGCAAATGTGCATGAAAATGTAATATAAATCATTAAAAGCAACATTTTTATTTTGTTAGTAAATCTAATTAAATTACTTTGATTAATAAATGTATGACAATTCTATTTAACATCTTGATTTAGTCAAGTTATTATCAAGTCATGGCAGTTATTAGTCTCAGCTTTCAAAACATAATGGCAAATCTTTATAAGGAAATAAACATCTTGTGTAATGATGTTGTTTTATGCCACAGAGCTCATTCTAACTCACACAACCCTATGAGAGATAAGAACTATCCTGTAAGGTTTTCTAGGCTTTACAGTCAATATGGATTGAAGCCCAACATCAAGAAGACAAAGATTCTCACCACTGGGCCAATTAGCAGCACCTTAATAGATGGAGAAGACATTGAAATTATTAGCAATTACCGTGCTCAGATCCACAATCAACACTCTTAACACCAGCAGTCAGTAAATCCAAAGATGAATTGTATTTGGAAAATTTGCTGTCATGGACCTCTCCAGAGTGCTAAAGAGCAATGATGTCAGTCTAGATTCAAAGGTATGCCTAATGCAGGCCATGGTTTTCTCAATTACTTGTTATGCTTCAGAAAGCTGGACAATGACTAAGGATGACACAAAAAGAACAGATGCCTTCGAACTGTAGTGCTAGAGAAGTCTTGAACATACCATGGAGTGCCAAGAAAACAAAGGTCTTTCTTGGAGAGGCTGAAACCAAGTCTCTCCTTGGAGACTAGGATTCTGAAGCTCTGCCTCATTTACTTTGGGCACGTGGCCAGGAGAGATCGGTCCTCATGCTTGGAAGGGTGGACGGACAGTGGGAAAGAGGGAGACCCTGGATGGGATTAATTGATACAGTAACTGGGGCAATGGGGGTTGGTGTGTCAGAATTCGTGAGAATGGCTTAGGGCAGGGAAGGGTTCAGAACTGTTGTACACAGGGTCACTGAGCATCACAGGCAACTCAACCAGTAACATTCTATGACAAGTTTAGAAGCAGGAGTGGCATCCACTTCCTAAAAACTTGCCTCTGGAAACTCTATGAAATCTGATAAATGTCGACAATTGTGGAAGGGCTTCAGGCCTTTTGTTCATAGAGTCACTATGAGACATACTCGACTCAAAGGCAATCAACAATAACAACAACAGCAGCATATCACCAGGTCTTTTTCTTCCAGAAATTGGCAACTGGGTTTAAACTACTGACCTTTCAATTTCCAGTTGAGTGCTTAATCACTGTGCCACCAAGACTCCTTCTTGTAGTATTACCAAACAATACATAATTATTAGTAATACATAATCTAATTACAAAATAATGCATGGTCTTGTGCCATTTCACAACATTGCTATTTTATTTTATTTTATTATTTTTGTGTGAGTGTACCGTCAAATCAGATGTGACTGGTACAGGAGAAGATTATTCCTCCTTCCCCAGCAGAGCATCTGGTGGATTCGAACCGTGCGCCTCTGGGATTGTGGTAACATTGCTATTTTTGAGTCCACTGTTGCACTACTATGTCGCTCTTCCTTGCTGATGGTCATTCCTTTTGCCCACTCCATACCAACCATGACGTCCTTCTCTATGGACTAGTCCTTCCTGATAACATTCTCAAAGCAGGTGACATATTCATTTCCAAAAAGTATCCCGCTGCACCTACATCTTCCAAGATGAATTTGTTTGTTCTTCTGGTAGGCCATGATATATTCAATATTGTTCGCCAATATTATAATTTAAAGGCATCAATTCTTCTTCATTATTCCTTATTTATTGTCTATTTTTGTGAGTGAGTAAGGAAAAGGAATAAAGACTACATTTGGTAACAGTCTCCATTTGTGGTATTTCTGTTATAGCAGAATAATGATGGAAAAGACTATGCATGACAGAAAGAGAAAGAAGCAAGTGATAAAATTCTATCTCTTTATGACTCAATTTTGTGGGAGAAGTGGGGAAAGATTTGCATATAAAAAGAAACTGAACTGACACATTAGAACATTAACCTAGAATGCTTGGATTATAAAATCACTTTACTTTGTTTATGTTTCTAAAACTTAATACAAAATACTTCTGATTTTTTTATTGGAGACAGAAACCTGGTGGCCTAGTTGTAAGAGGTTTGCTGCAACCCCAAAGGCATGCAGTTCCAGTCCACCAGCAGGTCTGCTGAAGGAGGATGGACAATCTCTTCCCATGCAATTTACTGTTTCTGAAAACCTGGTGGGTCAGCTACAAGTTGCTGAATTTCTTTACTGAAGTATAATTTTTATTTAGATGATAGTTTTTCTGACCAAAGTTCTACTTTAATGTTTACAAAAGAAAAAGCAAAATCCTTAATATAGTATGGTTTAATCAGTAATTAACCTGCTAAATGAAATTATTTGCTTCTGTGCCATTATCTCCATCATAATTAAATGTAATATTGTAGATCTCACTAGGGGCAATCAAAGAGGTTACAATGAAAGACTGACCAATCCTAAGCCAGCCTTACAATCACAGCTGTTTTGAGCCCCTGTTAAACCATTGTTGTTAACTCACTTTATTGAGGGTTGTTCTCTTTTTCACTAACTCTCTACCAAGTCTGATATCCTTCTCAAAGGACTGACTTCTCCTGATACATGCACAAAGTATGTGAGACAAAGTCTCGCCTTCTCATTTCTAAAGAGTATTCTTGCTGCTGCACTTTACTAAAACTGGATTTGTTCTCATTTTCTGCCAACAAAATTATTAAAAGGTATCAAATCTTGTTCATTCTTCTTTATTCACAGCTCAGCTTTCACTATTATATGTTGTTTTTAGGTGCCATCAAGTCAAGTATGACTTACAGAAACCCTATGAACAAAAAAAACTCTGCATCCTGTTCTATTCTGTGCCATCCTCACACTTCTCGACACACAAGAGCCCATTGCAACAGCCCCTGTGTTAATCTACCTGGTTGAGGTTCTTCCCCTACTTTGCCAATTCTCCACCCTTCCCAGAATCATGTCCTTAAATAGCACCTGTTAGCAACATGTCTAAAGTATGTGAGGCAAAGCCTCATCACTCTTGCCTCCAAAGAGCCCTTTGGCTGTACCCTCTCCAAGACACAGCTGTTCTCTTGGCCACTCCTGGGATGTTCAGTGCTCTTCTCCAACAACACAGCTCAAAGGCGTCAATTCTTTTCCTGTCATCCTTATTCACTGTCCAGCTTTCAGATGCACAGCAAGTAATCAGGAAGACTATGGCCTGAATCAGATGCCCCTTAGTCCTCAATCTAACATTATTACTCCTCAATAATTTGGAGAGGTCCTTAACTGCAAATTTTCCTAGTGCAGTGGGTTGCCTTATTTCCTGACTGCTGGTACCAAGGGATGTTAAATGCATATGAGTCAATGAAAAATACCATGGCTTGGATCAGGTGCACCTCAGGCCTCATAGTAATATCTTTGCTCTTTAAGAATTAAGTCTTTTGCAGTTATTTTGCCCAATACGTGTTTTGATTTTTTTTTTTTAACGATTGCTTTCGCTGATCGTGGATCCAAGTAAAACAAAATGCTTGACAACTTTAACCTTTATTCATCATGATGTTGCTTATTGGTCCCCTTGTGATGGTTTTTGTCTCCTTTGTGTTAAGATGTAAGTCTTATGGAAAACTATAATCTTTGATGCAGGTGGAACAGGTATGCCACTATCTAACAGCATTCTGTACATATATTTTATTGTATCAATTATCATATGGCAGTAATTGAATTATCTGTTTCTACTGCTATATTTTTAGTTCCTTGGGTAAATAAAATATTGCATTTATTTATAATCTCTACTACATAACAAGATGATCTAAATTATCTAACAAGTTGTCAATAATGTTTTCTGAATGAAGAAATAGATCAACTGTGTAATTTACAAACTACAACGTTCCTTTTAAGTAAAACTTAAGGGTTACATCTGCCTCTCTTCCAAAGCTAAACTAAGTCTTAACATGTATCATAAACAGCATTAACTGACATTAGTATTTCAAGAAACTATCAACACTATTCTCCCAGACTATCAACACGATTCTCCCATTCTTTTAGCTTTTATTTTATTTTATTTTTTTAGCTTTTATTTCTAAACTTAGATCACACTTGTTCAAGGCTTGTGTCACCCTTGGCATTTCCATCTCTGCCTTTGTTCTTAATCATATTTTGTCCTACCACTGGACCTATAACAGAACAGTTACTTGTTCATGTATCTATGTCTTTAACTGGATTTTAGTCTCTGGAAGAGAATGACTAACCTCTATTATCATTATGTAAATTAAGACAGAATTTGCCTTAATATTAAAAAGGTCTGACCTTTAGATTCTTGAAAACAAAATAGTTCGGAGGAAATTTGTTTCTATAAAAGTCATGCTTTGAAAAACCATTCAACCATTAAAATTCCTCTTTTCAAAGGTTTTGGTTTTCCTTAGCTTCAGGAAATCCACAGTTAAAGAGATAATAGATACATATATAAAAAAGTCAAACGATACAGAAAGTTAGACAATACAAAATGAAAGATTTATTCCCTTTCCTGTTCCCAGTTTAGGTGTTGAGTGTTACAGATTGGGCTGATAATCAAAAGGTCAGAGGTTAAATCCACCTGCCACTCAGAGGTAGAAAGATGAGGCATTCTCGCTCTGTAAGTATTACAGCCTCAGAAACCTGATGGAGCATAGTCATTAACCGAAGCAGTTGAGAGCAGTGAGGTTGGGTTCCCAGTTTTACTTCTATATGCCAAAAGGTCTGGAGCTAGCCATTTTTAATATTTTATTCCAGAGACTTCTGGAATTCCTGAGAAACTTATCAAAGGAATATATACTTAAGTGAAAAATTAAATTCCGTTCCAATGAAGAAATAGGATCTAATTGTGTTAGTTTATCTGTAGAACAAATTCTTAGAAAATAGTATATGGTGGCTTAATGTTAACGAGTTTCACTGCTATTGCAGAGGCAGGCAGCTTGAATACACCAGCTACCCTGCAGGAGAAAACCTGCTGGAGGGTCAGACATGAGTAGGTTCTGATTCGATGGTACCCAGTAACAACATTTCTAAAAAGATGTAAAAAAAGGCTGCATATATGTACAGGAAAGCATACGTACTGTATTTAATTTACAAACATTAGCAAGACTTGATAATACCAGATTTTAAAATCTCTGCCAATTAGTGAAAAGAGAATCCATACTTGACTCCCATTTATTTTACATTTCTCTTTATTAAAGATCTTTATTATGTATTTTAGTCTTCTCCTACTAAGTACTTGGCATCATTTTTGAGACAAGCCAGAAAAAAAAGGATAGTTCTATAAAACATGGAGATATCCAAAGGAATGTTAAGTTACTCCAATATAGAAAAATTAAAATAGTTTAATATTCACCAAATATTCTATGCTATTATCCTTCCTGTACTGCAAAATGTACCTAGCAATGAAGTTAGATACTATCTATCTCTCACACAAAATATGATGACTTAGCAAATACCCATCTTTACAGACTTAAATATTTGCAAAATTTAAAAATGTTGGCAACTACAGTCAAACTGGTTTTGTACTAATTTTCATTCCTACCGAAAGTGGGGCAAGTATACGGTGGTGGTGGTGTCTCTTACATTTTCATTTCCTATCTCAATTCCCTACTTCCCTTAATTGCATGTGTCAATTCCCCTAATCAATAGAAAAGCAGTAAAATATATCCATTTTAAATAGCTAAGGAAGGGATCTTAAAAATAAATTCAGCACACTTCTACTTGAACATCTACATTTATTTGATTAATAAGATATAAAACTGATGCTGAACAAGGGAAAGGCAAAGATATTAGTATGACAGATTTCTAAAATTTTCTTACCTTGTTTTTTTATAAATTTTTGCAGAGCTATTGATACTTTGAGATAAAGAAAATGAGATTTAAATACATTTATATATACTACAAAAATGAAAAATATTCTCCTTAAGTGTAATACTTACAATCGTCTAGATCCAGAAGTGAAATATCATTGGTAACAGGATTTCTTTCTTGTGTTGTTTTTTTCCTTTTCTCCTATAAAATAACAAACAGTTCATTTATTGAATGCTGTTATTTCAAACTTACAAAGCAGGCTTTAATGTTCAAATATGTTTCTCTGCTTAGCTTTCCAAAGGAGAGGACCTTCTGAATCATTATATGAAATGTAACTTTTGAACAAAAATATTACTTCAAATGCCATTAACATCTCTTCCACATTGTACAAATGTTAAAATAGTCCGTGCTTTAGGATAAAAAATGAACTTTAAGAAGAAAATATTAAATATAGAGGTAAATAATGTAATTCAACAAGTTTTTATCTTAGAAACAGTATATTTTTACACAGAAAGTATAGGAAAATTTTTGAAAATATTTTTTAAACAATATGATTTATGAAAAAGCAATGCTGAAAGAACTCATGCTTAGCTCTGAAGTTGATGGCTTTGGATAAAAGCTAGTATTTTGCAAAACACGCTTCATTATAGGTGTCCTACTAGTTACTACAGTAATCTCATTACTTTCTTGGAATTTAATCTAATTCTGATTTTTAACAAAAATTTACAGAATAGTTAGATTCTCATTAATTTACCATTGCATTTTTACCCCTCTCCCTCCATCCACCAGTTCATGTGTTTTTAAAAAAATATCTTTATTCATTGTTCCATAATTAGACCCCTCCCCCGAAGCGAAACGAAATTTAATCTTTCACTAGTTAGTACAGAGTGAGCTTTGGTGGCCTAGAAGTAAGAAGCTGCACTGCAATCCCCAAAGCAAGAAGTTCAAAGCCACTAGCTGCCTCCAGGGAGAAGAACTGGCAGTTTCCGCTTGTTCAATTTACAACCTCTGAAAACCTGCTAGAGGGTCCGCTATTGGTCTGTTCCAACTTGAGGACACATTAACAACAACAGTTACTTTATATTTCAACAATGGCTTATGCCAGGATTTTTTTGGCAAAGTATTTATTAAAATCTGTGATAGGTCATGTTCTTGGGAGTTAAAAAGGATTCCTTTTCTCTTATTTATTTCAGTTAAGTAGATTTACAAAGAGTAGCCATGCTTGGCTCCATAGTCAACAGTCTTGGCACCAGCAGCCAGGAAATTAAAAGGCGCACTGCCATGGGAAAGTCTGGTGTTAGGGACCTCTCCAAAGTACTGAAGAGCAATGGTGTCTCTCTGGAGACTAAGGTGCGTCTGATACAGGCTTTGGCCTTCCCAATCACTTGTTATGCATCAGAGAGTGGGACAATGACCAAGGAGGATAGAAGGAGAATTGATGCCTTTGAGCTGTGGTGCTGGAGAAGAGTATTGAGAGTATACCATGGACTGCTAGGAAAACAAACAGATTTGTCCTGGAAAGGGTTAAACCGGGTGGCTCCTTGGAGGCAAGGATTCTGAGGCTCCATCTAACATACTTTGGACATGTTGTAAGGAGGGACAGGTAGGTTCTTGGAGAGGGACATCATAGGGTGGAGGGACAGCGCAGGAGAGGAAGGCCCTCTATGAGGTGGATTGATTCAGTGACTGGGATAATTGGGATGGGAGTGTCAGAGACAGTGCGATTGGCACAGGACAGAGCGGAGTTTAGGGCTGTTGTACATAGGGTCACTATGAGTCACAGGCAACTCGATGGCACATAACAACAGCCTTGTTGGAACAGTGATTAAAACACTTAGCTGCTAACTAAAATGCCCATGGTTCAAATCCACCAGCAACTTGCAGGAGGAAAAAATTTAGCACTTTATTTCTGTAATAAACAGAGCCTTCGAAACTCAATGCAATGTTTCTACTCTATCCTATATAGTTGCTAAAAGTTGAAATGGACTCAACTCTCAATTACAATGGTGTTATATTTAAGAAGGTGATAGATTATAAAATGTTTTTGCATAGACAGAAAAGAATGTTCCAGAAAGCTGAGATTATTCACTCATTAGATAATCAAAGACATGATGTTGCTAAGGGTGGAGTGTCAGCAAAGGAGAGAAAGGTCCTCAACCAGGTGGGTTGACAAGGTGACTGCTGCAATGGGTTCTTGTGTGTCAGGAATTTTAAGAATGGCCCAGGACAGAACTGGTTTCAGATTTATTGTTCATAGAGTCACTATGAGTTGTACTTGACTCAGTATCACCTAATAAGAACAAAAACAACAACTGTGTGACCTAAGAAAAGAATTTTTCTAAGTAATGGAATGAGGGGAAAAAAGCAGGCAAAACGGAAAATGATTTAAAGATTTTAAATGATGAAACAATTAACAGGTACACTTTAAATGAAACTAATATGTGTTTGTTTCAGTGAAAGCATTTCATAATTGGAGGAATACTTAAAAATTTTCACGATAATTTACATTAATAAGCTATAAACTTCCTTGGTAGAGTATAAGTTATTTGAAGGCAGGAACTATGACTTGGTTGAATGTTAGCTCTATTGTTGAGCACAGAATCTGACATATAGTAAGATTTCAGCACATGCCTGTTGACTGGATGAATAAATAAGAACTTTTAATTAAAATTCCAGTTTTGTCCTTTAATTTTAAAACATTTAATAGAAAAGAAGATAAATTTCTATGTAAAGATGATGAAGGTTAATCCAAATACACTCCTCTATTGTCTTGAGTTTTTTTAAATCCTACTTCTCAGTACTTCACTTAAATGATTCATATTTTAGAAAGGTTTTTAACCTTTCTTCTCCAAGGAATGGCACCTCCTAGCAATATGTCCAAAGCCATCATTGTTGCCTCCAAAGAGCACTCTGGCTGTAACCTCTCCAAGATATATCTATTAGTTTTTCTTGGCTGCCCATGGAATGTTTAGTGCTCTTCTCCAGCACCACAATTTAAAGGCATCAATTCTTTTTCCGTCATCCTTATTCATTGCTCAGGTCTTGGATGCATAGATAATCATCGGAAAAACCATGCCCCGCATCAGACGCACCTTAATCCTCAAACTGACATCAATCATTTGGAAAAGTCCCTACCTGCAGATTTTCTCATTGCAATGCATCTCCTTATTTCCTGACTGCTCATACCAAAGGTGTTAACTGTGGATACCAGCAATATGAAGCAGTTGACAGTTTCAATCTCCTCTCCATTCATCATGGCACTGCCTATAAGTCCAGTGGTAAGAATCTTTGTTTTCTTGATGTTGAGATGCAATCCATACTGAGGCTGCATTCCTTGATCTTCTGCAACAAATGCTTCAAACCCTCCTCACTTTCAGCAAGCAATGTTCTGTCATCTGCCTAACACAGGATATTGATGAGTTTCTCTCCAATCCTGATGCTACATTCTTCTTCATAGAGTCCAGCTTCTTGGATAATTTGCTCAGCATATAGATTGAACAGCGACGGTGTCTCTCTGGAGACTAAGGTGCACCTGATACAGGCCATGGCTTTTGCAATCACTTGTTATGCATCAGAGAGTTGGACAATGACTAGGGAGGATAGAAGGAGAATTGACACCTTTGAGCTGTGGTGCTGGAAAAGAGTACTGAATGTACCATGGACTGCCAAGAAAACACACAGATTCATCCTAGAGAGGGTTAAACCAGGCTACTCCTTGGAGGCAAGGATTCTGGGGCTTCGCCTGACATACTTTGGACATGTTGTAAGGAGAGACAGGTCTTTAGAGAGGGACATCATGCTGGGTAGAGTAGAGGGACAGTGCAGGAGGGGAAGACCCTCTATGAGGTGTATTGATTCAGTGACTGGGGTAACTGGGATGGGTGTGTCAGAGGCAATGAGATTGGTACAGGATAGAGCACGGTTTAGGGCTGTTGTACATAGGGTCGCTATGAGTCGCAAACGACTCAACGGCACATAACAACAACAAAATATAGATTGAACAGATATGAAGACAGAATACACCCCTGATGCACTCCTTTCCCAATTCCAAACCATGCAGTGCTCCCCTGCTCCATTTGCACAACAGCCTCCTGGTCTATATAGGATTCCTATGAGCACAATTCATTATTCTGGGATTCCCATTCTTCTCCCTGGTGCCATGGTCTCTTCTAAATCCCACTTAAACTTCTGGCAATCCCGTATGTACTGTTCTAGCCATTTTTGAATGATCTTCAGTATTTTGCTAGCATGAGCTATCAATGATATTGTTCAATAATTTCGACATTCAGTTGGATCATCATTCTTGGGAACAGGAACAAATATGGACCTCTTTCAATCCATTGGTCAGACAGTCGTCCTCCAAATTTCCTGACATACACCAGTGAGTGCATCCAAGGCTGCATCTGTTAATTGAAAAAAGACAATTGGTATCCCATCGATTCCTGGGGCCTTATTTTATTTATGCCAATGCCTTCAAAGCAGCTTCCACTTTCTCTTTCATTACCATTGGCTCTTGTTCAAATGGTACTTCCTAAAATTCTTCAGTGTCCATCAGTTCTTTCTCGTACAGCGTTTCTTTGTATTCCCCCCCATCTTCTTTTGATGCTTTCTGGATCATCCAATATATTGCCCATAACATCTTTCAACATTGTGACATAAGGCCTAAATTTATTTATTCAGCTCTTCCAGCTTGAGAAATGCAGAGCAATTTCTTCCCTTTTTATTCTCCAATTTCAGCTCTCGGCACATTCTGCTATAATGTCATATGGCAGGAGTGGCATCCACTTCCTAAACAACATGCCTCTGGAAACTCTATTAACTTTGATAAATGTCTATAGTTGTAGAGGGGCTTCAGGCCTCTTGTTCATAGGGTCGCTATGAGTCATGCTGATTGAAAGAAATCAATAATAACAACAATATACACAGAGTAATATACATTAAAACACTACTAAAGGACTTCACTAGGGAGTTCTGGTAGCTTGGTGATTAGGAATTGTACTGCCAAGGAGAATGTGCTATTGTTGCTGTATGCTAATGAGTTGCAATCAACTCACAGCTGATCCTCTAGGTTCTCAGAGGCAGTTTAATCACCATGGGAAGATACGGCCTATCTTTCGCCTGTGAAGTTAGGTGATTCGAATCTACCACCTGCTTAGTGGGAAAAAGATGGGTAATCTCCCCTCATGAGATTTACTGCCTTT